TCCCACTCAGCCTCCCAAAGTGCTGGGATTACAGGTGCGAGCCACCATGCCCGGCCTCTCTGCGCTTTTCTTAAGGCAGAAACCAGGGCTACTGCTTCCCTGGGTTCCCCACTCCGATTTGTGCCACTTCAGTCCAGAATGTTCTCCATTTCTCAAGGCTCTTGGGGTGTGCCGGGTTTGCTTGTTTCCCACGCATCCTCCTGAAGCTCCCCCTTGGGTTTGTCTGAACGTGCAGGACATTTTCCTCCTGTGACCTCTTGGATGACTTTTCCTGCTGTGTGTTCCCTATGTCCTTTGGGCTTTCAGAAGGGTGTTAGACTCTTTGGATCACTTCCACGCATCTTACAACTTTTCTGTCATTTTTTTCTCCCTTGTGTTTTTTTTCTCACCAACCTGGGACATGTTATCTGTCTTCCAGAGTTGTCTATTATTCAGCTCCCTTGTTAAAAAGTGTTTATTTTGGCCACCGTGCTGCTCATTTCCAGGAACTCTGCTTTGTGTCTGATTGTTCCTTCCTGTTTGGAGGACGCCATTAGCACAGCACTGATAAGACCCCTTCTCAGAGGCGTCCCCTCTCTTCCTTGCATTATGTGTTTCCTTGCAGTCGCTGTTGTGTAAACCCAGCCGAGGCAGGCGTGGTAAGCCCAGAAGTGCAGGCTCTGGGCTGGGCTCTGGTAGATTCCTGTGAATGGGAGAGTCCTTGCCTGGCCATCCCTTCTGTTTTCAGAATGATGCAGCCTTAATCTCTGAAGAACTTTTGTGTGGATACATGGGCGTGGACACCGAGTCTGGGGAGACTGGCCGTGATGGAGACAGGTGGAGGCCTCTCTTCCTTTTCCTCCTCCACCTGACCTACTCCGTCACCTGCTCACCCTCTGCCCACTTCCTCTTCCCACCCTTTGTCCTTGTTCCCCACCCACTGCTCTGCCACCTCCAGTCTCTTCAGGTCAGCAGAGATCTGACCTGATGGGCCTGGGCCCCCGTGGAGGGCCAGGTGCAGTGGGACCAACAGTCACAACAGCCGCACATCGAGCTGTTGTCGTGTGCTGTTCACACCACCACGATGAGCAGGGACTGTCATCAGGCCCACTGCACATGTGGGGAAACTGAGGTACTGGGTGGTTGGACAACCTGCCCAAGATCATGTAGGCAGTAAATGGTGGAGCTAGGATTCAAACCCAGGCAGCCTGAAGTTCATGGTAGGAAAACTTGAACTTGCTGCAAGCCCTTCCAGACTCCCCTGCACACCCTCGGTGGGACTGACAGCCCATGCTGACTCTGTGACCTCATCAGGCCCGGCTCGCTCCTCTGGGGGCCACTGTCCTGGCTGAGCCCCGAAGTGCCTTCCCAGCCCGCTCCCTCCTGCTCCTCCCTCAGATGCAGAGTGTGGACAGGAAGCGCACCAGCCCAGGTGAGGGCACACAGAGCACAGCCCGCCTGTGACTGCAGTGAAGCTGGCCACTGCCTCCTTCGGCCTTGGCCCCTCCAGCAGGGCAGGGACTGGGCCTGCAGCCCACCCTGGCGGGCATCCAGGCAGCATGTGTTGCGCCGACTCAGGTTGACTGCACTTGCCTGCCAGGGAAAAGGCACCCTCTGTAGCCTGTGGCCCCCTCCCCGGCCCCTCCCCGTGCACACCCTCTGCCTGGAATTCCATCCCACTGGCTGCCCCTCCACCAGGCTGTCAGTTGGCGTCACCTGGGCCCTGTCACCCCCCCGCAGGCACAGTAGATGAGCTCCCAGATGATATCCAGGGAATGTCTGTGGGATGGATGAGGGATGCTGGGAAGTCCTCACGTGCAGGACACAGACGCACTCGGCCAGAGTGGAACCTGAGTCCTGCCCTGGGAGCTGGCCTCTGGGTGGAGGCCACGGGAGCCGCAGCCATGAGTGGCGAAGGCTCACCGACGCCAGTCTGCTCCAGGTGCTGGGACGCGTCGGCCCACAGAACAGAGCCCCTTCCTCCTGGGGTTCTTCTTGCTGAGGGCTTCATGTCTGGTCACCCGGGGCTGCCTCCTCATTTGACAGACTCAGGCTCTGAATGATGGTGACGGTGATGCTTCCTGAGCACGACACAAAGCACTGGGGTTGTATTTACCAACCCCTTACTCAGGAAGATCCCAGGAGGTAGCTGCTACTACCAACATTACCCTGCATTTTTTTTTAAGATGGAAAAATGTAGTTCATTTAGAAAGTAAATAGAGGGAGGAGATTCGCCTCCCCAAGGTAGGGGAGGGGGCTAAAGCTTAGGAAAACATGGCCTGGCCATAGCTCAAAGAACACATGGCCAGACCACAGCTTAGCAAGGCAATGGCTTTTTTTTTTTTTTTTTTTGAGTTGGGGGTCTCACTCTGTCGCCCAGGCTGGAGTGCAGTGGCATGATTACAACTCACCACAGCCTCAACTTCCCGGGTTCAGACAATCCTTCCATCTCAGCTTCCTGAATAGCCTGGACTACAGGCACATGCTGCCATACCCAGCTAATATTTTTTTCACTGTGTTGCCCAGGCTGGTCTCAAACTCCTGGTCTCAGGTAGTCCTCCCGCCTTGGCCTCCCAAAATACTGGGATTACAGATGTGAGCCACTGCGACCGGCCACCCTCCTTTTACATGTGAGAAACAGAGGCACAGGCAGTCAGCTGCTGCCCCAGGTCCCACACCTGGTGGGTAGGCGGATCTGGACCCAGGTGGGTGGCACTCAAGCCACGGGTCAGTGCTGCTGTGAGGGGACCCACAGACAGGTACCTCCTCCCACCCGTGTCACCACACAGACAGTGCAGATATGTTCCCTCACCTGCCTCTCACACCTGCAGTCTTCTGCACGTCATTCACCATGGGGTTCTGCCCCGCACCTTTCCTGTGTGGCCGGCCCTGCCCTGCCTGGGGACGCTGGAGGAATGCAGATGGGGGTCCCAGCAGGAGCGCCAGTGTAGGCCCACGGGCAGCTGTTGCCACCCCAGTTGGTGGGGCAGGACAGAGCAGGGCACCTTGGCTTGAGATGTGGGTGACCTCTGCTCAGGGCCCCGTTCTCGGTGTTCCCACCAGGCTGGCCTCAGCCTTGCTGCCTGTGTGATACCCATCACAGCCATGGGTGTTATCTCACCCGCCCACCTCTCTGCATCTGCCAGGCCTTGAAAGGCGGCTCTGGGCAAGGATTCCTTAGGTGGGTTCTTCCTAATCCTCTGAGCCCCACTTTCCAGGTGAGAAGCACAGCTGACCCTGTGGGGCTGTTAAGGTTAAACAAGAGCGTTTCTAGAAAGCACCTGGCACATGGCATACTGCAGTGTCTCAAAGAGCATCATTTTGTTATAACGTCGATGAGAAGAAAGAGTCCTGGGCCACCATGTGTGGATTTGGCACGGGCTCCCCATGTCTGCGTGGATTTCCTCTGGGCCCTCCAGCTTCTTCCCACGTCCCAAAGATGAGCCATTAGGTTCGTCAGTGCGTCTGTGTGACCCAGCGTCAGTGGGGGGGAGGCTTGTGTCTCCGATGGGTGCGTCCTGTCCAGGCAGGCTCCGCCTTGGTCCTGAGCTGCTGGGGCGGGTCCTGGCCACCACCCCTTGAGCTGGAATAATTGGGTAAATAATTATCTTCCTTTTAAAAACATCCTTTCTTTCTTTCTATAGCTTATATTTCGGTGTTTAGTATTATAAGTGTTTTGGGTCTTTTCTAAAAAGCTTGGTGATGTTTTTGTGACCAAATATATACCAGACTTCACTCATTTACATGGATTAGCTGACGTAAAAGTGGTTTCCTGATGCGTTGTGCTTAAAGTCCCAGTCTCCAAGGACCCAGCGATGCTGTCAAGTGAGGATGTACTGCATGCTCGAGTCCTGAGTCTTCACGTGGTTTGATTTGGTCGGCATCTGTCCATTAAGCACCTCCCACGGGCTGCAGGTAGCTTGGTCAGCCTAGATCCCCGCCCCACAGAGCTGTCCTCATCCAGAGGCAAGACAGAGTGGGCAGGGCTGGGGCAGAGGACACCGTCCAGGAGGGGGGAGAGGGAGGCCTCCAGGAGCTGGGCAGAAGGTGGAAAGGCCCAGAACCTGAGCCTTCCCTGCCCAGTGAGCGAGTGCCCCTGGGGGCAGAGAAGAGGGCAGTGGAGGTACAGCTAGCCCCACCCACGGAGGGGAGGACGGGGTAGGGGGCTCAAGCCTGGTGCTGTGGCCACTTGAGAGGAGCCAGTGGTGGGTGGGCTTTCTCCCTCCTGGGTTCTGCACCCCCCTTCTCTGTTCTCCCTCTTCTGTTCTGCCTGGCTTTCTTTGAGAAACACAGCGCCTCACACTGCTAAGCGTCCTGAGATTTCTGGTGCCCGCAGCCTGGGCCTCCCTCCCTCAGCTTGTTCCAGGTCACCCAAGCAAAAAAAAAAAAAACCACGAATGCCTCCTCTCCTCCAGCCATGCTGTCCAGGCACGCAGGCACATGGAGACTCCAAGTCCAGCCTCCTGCCATCCCTGCTGCCTGCGCCCTGGCTCCACCAGCCGAGTCCCCTCCTTTGTGAACCCTGGCCTGCCCTCCAGATTCCACTTGGCCCCCACCGCCTTCCCTGAGCCCCTGTCTGTTTCTCCCAGGGGTCTTGACTGGTATCTTAAGGCAAGTGATCATGGTTGACTCCCTCAGCGCCCCCATCTGTGGCCCAGCCCAGGGCTCTCACCATGAGCCCTTGCAGGGGTCACTTGGAGCATCTTGGGTGGTCTCAGTACCCACTTCACAGGGCCTTAATAGGATTCACACTGAAAGCGCTTGCAGTCATGAGGGGTGTTATCAGAACCCTTGACATACCAGGGGAGCCCGGGGAAGACCCCCGTTGTTCTTGGAGCTGATGGGGATTGGGAGAGCCTGAGAGGTCTAAGACCTGCCCCCCCCCCAGCCAGGCTGTGTCCCTCCCCTGGGTCTCCTCACTCCTGATCTGACAGCATAGGCAAGTTGGTCTTGGGGTCACACCAGGTGGCTCCCCTGGAGGTGGCTGAAGGCCCCTTAGCCTCTCTTCTGTGGTCTTCTAGGGACGGAAGATGAACCTGTCGGTCCTAGAGGGCATGGGCTTCCGTGTGGGCCAGGCTCTGGGCGAGAGGTGAGAGCTGGCCCCTCCTGCCTCCCCACTCCCTGGCTGGCAGGACCCAAGGTCGGGTCCCATCCTGGGCAGGCCCGGGGTGGGGGGGAGTGTCACAATACTCTGTGCGGAACAAGCCTGGCTCCCTCCCTTTTCTGGGGGGCCCCCACCCCGCCCTGCCCCTCAGCCTCAGCCTGGCCCAAGGGTTGGCTCCTGCCCCACCAGGCTGCCCCAGGAGACGCTGGCCTTCAGGGAGGAGCTGGATGTCCTCAGGTTCCTGTGCAGAGACCTGTGGGTGGCCGTGTTCCAGAAGCAGATGGATGGCCAGCGCACCCATCACCAGGTGGGTGAGCCGGGAGAGGAGACTGGCAGGAAGGCTGTGGCCCGGAGGCCGGTAGGAGCCCGGGTTTCCCTCGGCATCCAAGGCCCATCTTGGGGGCTCTGTCGGATCCTCCAAGGCCCACCAGGAGCCTGCAGGGGGGCGTGGGGGCCATTTCCAGAACTTCACCAGCCTCCTGGGATCGGGCCTGGCGTGCACCCAGAGGCCTGCCAGCACCTCTCCCGGCATGACGCCACTTGGCTCAGGCTGGCCCCGCCTCCCATCGAATGCCCTCATGGTGCCAAGCCCCACACAGCCTAGAAGGCCAGGACTATGTCCCTTGGGAGTCACAAAACCCGAGGCAGCACCCACACTCCCCAGGTCAGAGGCCTCAGGCCCTTCCACAGCTGTGGGGATAGGCCAGGGCCCTGTGGTTTTGAGGCCAGGGTCCTCCTAGACCTCAGCCCGAAGGGCAAGGGCACTGGGTCCTGGCCTCCCCTTCCCCCACTGGCCTCTCCTCTGCCCCCAGGGGACCTACGTCCTGCAGGACAGCAGCTTCCCCCTCCTCGTCCCGATGGCCTCGGGCCTGCAGTATCTGGAGGAGGCACCCAAGGTAGGGGTGAGGGCTGGGGCTCCCTCCACAGCCCCCCGCCCCATCTGCCTGACTCCTGCCAGAGCGAGGCCTCTCTGCAGGCCCAGGCCCCAGTGCCTCCCTTCCCACTGCAGTCTGTGTCCTCTGCCCAGTTCCTGGCCTTCACCTGCGGCCTCCTGCGAGGCACCCTCAGTACCCTGGGCATCGAGAGCTCCGTCACCGCCTCCACGGCAGCCCTGCCCACTTGTGAGTCACAGGGAGGGGGATTCTTCTCGACCCTTGAGTGTGCCGGGACTCAGAGCTCTCTGTCCTGCTCTTTCGTGGGTGCCGGGAGGTGGGCCAGGCTCCACTCACCTGCTCAGGCCACACAGCTGGTGCAGGCCCATCCGTGCCCCTGACTCCGTGACCTCCCCAGCCTGCTTCCCTGGGGCTGCCAGCCCTCAGGAGAGAACCATCTCGTAATTTCGAGATCTCTTCCATGCACGGGAACCCAGGTGGACACAAGAGAGATCGGTGATGGATTCTTCGATGGGAGGGCTTCAACTTGAACCTGCGTGACAGGGTGTCCTCTGTCCGGCTGAAGTCCCATTCCTACCTGGGGGCAGCATGCCCCAAAGCCTGAAGCCACACTGCCTCCCATACCACCCCCAGCTCTGCTGTCCTCTGTGGGTTTCCCAGGCCTACTCATGGGGGACCTGGGGCCCCAGCGGGCAGGACTGGGCAATACATACCACAGAAGCCTGTGCCGGGCCCTTCCCAGGGCCCACACATGGCCTTCATGCCCCTAGTTACTCACGCGGCCCTGGGATGTAGGCCAGATGGGCGGGAGCAGCACCTCTTTGGCCAGTGAGGACACTGGGGCCCAGCCCAGGCCACCCAGGCTTTCCATGCAGAGCAGAGGATGAATAGCCCTCAGCCGTCAGGGTGCCCTGCTGCTGCTCCCCAGATCCCAGCCTCAAGCTAAAGCCAGCCCTTCTCTTCCAGGTAAGTTCCAGGTGGTGATCCAGCAGCCTTGAGGACCCCCGGTCAACCCTCACCCCCCACAGGAGACAGCACACACCGTGATCGGGGACCCCAGGCCACTGCCTTTGGGGGTGGTCTTGGGGTTGGTGCTGTGGATCCTAGGCTCGGAATCACACGTGCTCAGGAAGTGGGTGTCAGAGGGAGGTGGGGGCATCAGGGGAAGCAAAGGGGTCCCAGCCACCGTGGGACTGGTGTGGAGGGTTTCCGCCTCAACATGTCCCTCCCTGGCAGACGCTCAATAAAAGTTCTTTGTGTGGAATAGATTCAAAATGGGGGTATCCATGGAGCAGCCATCACAGGTCCTATGGAGGAGGGGGAGCACATTCCATGGCTCCCCACCCCCGGTCCCCTCCCTTCCAAGCCCCTTGAGCTTGTCGCCTCCCTCTTCACATACCTGGCAGGGTGAGGTGGTCCCCAGCACGGCGGGCTCACTGGTGTCTCTGCCGTGTCACCAAGTCTGGGTCTGCCCTCTGCCCAGCAGGACGCACAGAATGGAGCCTCTCTGGGGAGCAGGGGCGGGCTGGGGCCGCCAGGGCCGAGGACGGATGGAGGGAGGCCAGACATCCTCCTCCCTCACCCTCTACATGAGGCATGCGTGCTTCACGTGCCCGTCAAATGCAAGTCCTACCCAGAGCGGTGCCTGTCCCTGGCAATGCCAGCCTTTCTGCCCGCACCTGCTACCTCCTCCCATCTGCATTTGTAGCAGCTGGGGACCTCACACACTTGGACTTGTACCTGGGCTCTGCCACCGGCTGCCTGATGTGGGTAAGTACCGCAGCCTCAGCTGTAAACTGAGGCTGGGGATGGGACCCAACTGAAAAGAGGAAGGGTTCCCTTGCTAAAGACAGTCCAGCGGCAGGATCTCAGCCCCTGTAGGGTCTGGCCCACCCACCCTGTCCAGCCCTGCTTTGGCCTCCCCCATCACAGCCCTGATCGGCTCCTGCCTCTGCTTGAGCCGGCCCTTGCCTGGCTGGCTCCCCTAACTGCCACTCCCCTCAGCGTCCTGCAGCCACCTGGCCTATGCTGACCCCTCACCTTGCCCCGTGGCCATGTGGTCTCCCGTTCTCTGCCTTGCAGCCCTGGACAGCCTCGTCGTCCCCCCCGCCCGCTGTCTCATTTACGTTGGGACACACTTCCTCTCGGGTCCCTCTAGGCGCCCCCTCTGGGTGCTGGTCCTGCCCGGCACAGAGCCTGGCACTTGGGAGCCCTGGGCCGGTGTTTCCTGGGAGAATTGGAGATACTCAGCCCGGATGGATGGTGGGGGTTGGTTCGGGTCACCATAGGCTCCCCCACACTCAGACACACCAGCCCTTCCTCATTGGGTGCAGAGGCGCCTCATGGGCCAGGGAGAAGCCTTCCCCAAGGAATCGCCTTGAAGGACCACGGGGGAAAGAGAGCCTGACCGGGGGTAAGGAGGGAGTCTGGCTCCCACCCTAGGGGCCAGTGTCTGATCTCCAGACAGAACCCTCGAGGGGGGCCGCCGCGCCCGGCGGGTTCCCTGTGTCCTGCCCTGGGTGCTGTCGTGGTTGCCCCCCACCCCCACCTCGGGATTTGCCCCCTCGCACAGCAGCCCTG